GTGTGGAGGGATAAGGCCTGCTGGTGTTCCTTTTCAGTGGCTGCTCTGATCCTTTGGAATGTCTTTCTAAAGCACATCTGGTTTCTTTCACTACAGACTGTCTTCTGCAGTAATAAAAAGAGGTTTTTTCCAAAGGGCAATTGAATCATGAGTCTATCCAATGTACATTACCTATATTAGTATAATAGGTACTTCTTATGACTTTCTTTTTGAATCAGTACATATTTATATTAATTCATTCCATGATATGAGAGAGAGAGGGCGAGAGAGCGGACTATAGGTTACAGAAGGTTAGCATAATGACATGTTTTTGGAAAATTGTATCTTATCAATAAAACTTTTACATCACTTTTATACCAACTCTTTAAAACTGCATTTAGATATTATAATTTATTTTTTAAAAAATATTAGCTTATGGCACCATCTTAATATAAGCCACACATTTTAGGTTTGTAGCCCTATTTGCATCTATCTAGAAGTGAATTCTATTCGAATCATCGCAGCTTGTTTCTAATTCAATATGTGTACATTTGCAGTGTAAAACAGAGCATCTCATGTTAATAATTCCCCTTTAATTATAGCTTTGGAATAATGCCTTATGTACTCTCTTCTGTAATTTCTATGAAGTCCTGCAATATAGGAAATAAAAGCCTGAAATGCAAAACCAGATTCTTATAGGCCATGCATATACTTCAACATCTGCTCTAAATTGAGCTCATCAGAAATTCAGAACATTTGTAAGGATGAATGCCCAGCACAACCTACTAAGATAGGCCAACTGCCTTCTCTCAGTGGAATCTGTACTCAAAACCTAAATAAATGACTTTGAGAATCACTTTCAAAGACAATAGTTGCAACACAGTGTATATTCAAAAACACAAGAATATAAAACAAAAGTGTACAACATTTGAGAAGGCATGGATTGCAAGTGAGACTTCTGACTTTTAAAGGGCTCTATAATATAGTGACATTAATGAAAGGTAAGAGGCTGACATTTTGCAGCCCCCTTTTAAAAAAGTATTTTAAGGTTGGAAATAGAAGTGAGACACCTCTGAGAAGTAAACTGTTCCCATTCTTACTAATAAAAGTTCTGAAAAAAAAAAAAAAGCCTGAAATTGGCTTCATATCTACTTTCTGAATGCCAAAAAGGCCAAAATGTTCAAATCTAAAGTAATAAACTACTGTATATACCTTCCAGTTCTGTGTTTATATAAGTTTAAACTGCTGGGAAATCTGCCTTCAATAATTCTGAAAACTATTTTCCAGATTCTTTGATGCTTCTTTAATGAGATGCTATCTGGGATTGCTACTTTTGAAATACTTGTGGGAATTGGCAACTTACTAATTCTCAGTTTTGGGTCCCTGGCTGGTTTGATTTTCAGGAAGAGTTTTTGTCATGCTGGAAAAGGAAGATTATCTATGACACTGTGGATGCTTGATTTTTCCAAAAGATTAAAGCAGAGATGGAAATGTTCAAAAAACCTTATGGATATTTTCTCCTCTCAAAATAGACAGATAGGCAGGATTCTAGCTAAGACGATCTAGGGTGACCAGCTCTCCTAGAGTTGAAAAGAGATCTTAAGAGATAATTATTATACAACAGGAGATCTGAAATCTGCCAACAAATTAAAATTGCAATATTAAATAGATAACTTGGAAGTCGGATAATCGGCAAACAAAATAGGACATGCTTTTTCAGTATCTATCTGATTCCTGGAGGACACACACACACACACACACACACACATACCTGAGAACAATCAGGCTACTGCTTTTTATTGTACAACTGACATCTCATCTTATTTGAACTTAAAGTATGTAACATAGAAACAGTGTCCAGCTATGTTAACTATAAGTATTGCATCCCATTAGAAAAGTCACGTCTAAATTTTTGAGGACTATTTTACTTGTCTAACAATGCATCTATATGTCTGCAACCACAGCAGAGAAGTGAGACAGTCATTTATTAATTTTCTGCCTTTTGTTTATCTGACACTCAAAAGATCTAATCAATTAGCTATCAATAGTTTAAATATTTAATATTTAAATATTAAAATATATTAAAATATTTAATAGTTTAAATATTAATATTTACTTTGCCAAGCCTGGTACTTGTAAACATCCAAGAAAATTTTTGATCTGTCTGTAAAAGGGTAATAGAGAGAAAAAGAGAAAAATCAGGTCTTATTCTTTTGCCTGAGAACTCATGATTGCTGTGGAGTTTCAAAAAGCCAAGCCCACAATCAACCAATGTGTTAGGGACACTGATGGAATGGAATGTTTGGTTACTATAGCTTTGTCATCAATAGTAACAATTACACTTTAACAACTCTTCTTCCACCCTAATTAGAAGACCTTTATTATGACTCTTTTTAACATTTGCCATCAGCCCTGCTTGAGGATACATTTTGACAGCTCTTATATTTTGAAGACGTCTATCTATATAGTTTGGTGGTAGATATGGTGGCATGTGTATTGCTTTATTATATAACTTTTTGATTATGTTAAACTCACACCCTGATCTCCCCTATGGACTACTGCAATACACTCTACATGGGACTACCCTTGAAGACTATTCGGAAACTGAAGCTGATGCAGAATGCAGCAACATAGACAACACTGGGTAACCCTAGAATTGCACATATAATATCTCTGGTATGTGAGCTGCACTAAATGCCAATTTGCTTCCAGATCTAATTCAAAGTGCTGCTTATTACCTTTAAAGCCCTTCATGACATGAAACCAAATTACCTGAAGAACCATCTTGTCCCAATTACACCGAATGTCCCACCTGGCTAGGCAGGGAGGATATATTAGGGACCATTAATTAAAGAATTTTTATTGGGGCGGGGGGGGGGGCTAGGAAGAAAGCCTTCTCTATCATTGTCTCCACCATATGGAGTTTCTTGTCCCCATTCTTTTGTCCTTCCAGAACAGAATCAAGATTTGGCTCTGCCAAGTGGCACGGGCTGTGTGTGTCTAAGAATAGCATGCAAACCAAGATGTGGTTGAGGGCCCGAGGTGCTCCCTCTGCTTTTTAAAACTTTATGAAAACTTTTTTTCCCATTTGTTTTTAGTTTTGTTGCTACCTATGTCTCTTTTATGTCTATACATTTGATACATTCAAAAAAATTGATCTAAGAAGTGTTGTATAAAAACTTCTTTCAGTAGAGAACTGACAGACATTTGGAAGCTTAAAAAACTTTTTACTGCTTTTATTTTACAATTATTGTAATTCATTCTTTTGTCATGAGAGCAAACCCCTCACTAAGACTCACTCATAAAAGCTATTGATATCATAGCCAACCCACTGTTCATGGCATGTACTAAATCAACTTGTGGGACATGCCAAGTCACAAATAAATGGAAGCAGCTTGTTGTCCCCTACTCATACAGTACAAGGCATTTTAATGTTTATACAAGATATAATTAGCTAATAGCTTTTGCTGGGCTCCTGTGCGACATTTTACATATCATCTTCATTAGTCTTTTTATTCTTCATGCTATGAAGAACAAAGTTAATGAGGAAAGATGTTCTACAATTATTACAATTATTATCTAAAGGCATTTGATGCTTTTCTTTTCCTTGAAAACAATTCTTGGCATACATTATAATTTTGAAAGAAAAGCCTTCCAATAGCCAACAAAATCATAGAACTGGAAGGACCATAAGGAGTCATCAAGTTCAGCCTTCTGCATACTGCAGTATTCATTACATGTTTCCCAATAGATGACTATTCATCCTCTGAAAATCTCTGGTGAAAGAAACCTATTCCAATGGTTGGTAGCTGTAACTGTCAAGAAGTTCTTCATTATGTCTAATCTGTGCTTACATGCTTCTGTACAAGTCCACATGACAGAAAAAAAATCACAACATATATAAAACATAAACAACCAGATGGTAAAATATCCTAAAAAGTATTAAATTTGTTACCTGCATTCATCTAATAAATGGAGACTTTCTAGACTGCTCAGTCCACTAAGATCAGACAAAGATTTTACTTTTTCTTTTCAGAGCACATATTATGATTAATTATAATGCTTCATACAGCAGGTGGATTAAATAAAAGAATGTAATTTAAATAACTTCTTTAAACAGAAGATAACGAAGCAATGTCTAAATTTCTCTACCATCAATGTTGCCTGATATGCTATTTATTGGAGAGAAGGAAGGAAGAAACATTAAGAACTGAAGCAAACTAATATGCATCAAAACTAATATTCTTAAATACAAAACTAAATGTTAGGGTATAACTACCCTATTATTGGAGGAAGAAAGGAAATGCTATCAGCTTCATGCCATTCTGAATATTGCCACAACTGTTAAATGCCCTGATCTACTACAACTTAAAGAACTGAAGTTCAAGTGAAGAAAATCTTTGAGAATGTAACGCCCTCAAAAGGTCAATACATTGCATTAGTATTGATAAAGTGAAATACATTCATGTTTTTTCCCATGTGGATTACAAGGAAGATTTTTATTTGATAGACATAGAACAACTACTCATATTACCTTGGCACTGCACAAAATAACAGTACTGTACAAAATAACATTAAAAGAGATTAAAAATATAATTATGTTTATTACTTACCAACATAAACAGCTACATATTGATTAGTCTACCTCACAATAAATCTACTATGTAAACACATTCTGGATTGATAAAATTATGTGCCATAATAGTAGTTTTATTCTGTAAAGTACTTTTCTAATAAACTTCTGGTTTAATGTTAATATCAAACTACAAGAAGTTCCATAGTAAGTCATGTTTAAGTAATATTTTGATGTTGTTTTAAATGAAGGATAGTCATTTGAAGTGAATAAAATTGTTTATGAGGACAGATACCGTACTCAACTTACTGCATGTATCAGGAACTATGGAGAACATTTTTAATAAAATAACATTTCTGCAGCAACATACCAATGTATCAAAATAGCTTGTTACAGTACAAGAATTTTGATCTAATCTGGTAACTGATCACATAATTAATCCACTTACATTTCTGCTACTTGAAGATCTGCGCTTTCCTCGAATACCAGAATAGCTCCTAGGACTTGTTGGCGTAGTGAATGGAAGAACAGTAGAAAGGTGAGGAGAGCTTGTTGGAGTCAAAGGAGACATCAGACTGCCTAACATGCTTTGTTTGGAGACATAGTTAATTTGAGAAAGAATATTTTCATTGTCTCCAGCATCACCACTACCCATTTCAATCTTTTCTTCACTGGTTATACTTCTTAAATAGTCTTTGAGCATCACTTGAGTTGCTGTTTCACTCAACCAGCACAAAAAGAGCTCATCCACTTTCATTTTTAGTACAGGCTGTAAAACTTTCACAGTTGGCATCTTGTCCTCCTTTTAATTTATTTTTTGCTTGAAGGAAATAGATGAACTTCTCAAATCAGATTAAACAGATTTCCACCTGAAAGACAAAATGCCTGTTAAAAAGATTTCCTTTAAGATTATTAAATCTGTCTGTCTGTCTTCCTCTACCCACTCACCCACCCAAAATATAAAGAGGCAAACAAAAAAGATATTATGATGTTATTAAGAATTTTACATGTTTTAGATTGTGGTATTACAGACCATGAAGGTTAAAGATTTTCTTTCCATAATTTGTCAATTGAGGTATGTTAGTAGTATGCTTTTATAGAACATTTTTAGAATATGAGAAAGAAAAACAATTTTATATTGGAATACTAGATCTCGGTTGCAAAATACCATATGACCAATAAACAATGTTTCTTGTACCTCTTATTGTCATTTTGCATTTGTATTTTTATAGTCTAGGTTTAGAAAACCATATGAAGAATCTACCTTTTTCCAGTATTCATTTCATTAGGTTTATTTTAAAATGAAGTGAAGGTTGATACAGGATTTGATCTGGATATGTGCAACATAAATTAACAGCATAAATCAGAATTAAACAATTAATGAAGTCCCAGATGTGTTAACCTACAAGGTTATTTAAGGCAGGGGTCTCCAACTCCTGAGTTGCGGACTGGGATCGGTCCGTGTTAAGAACTAGGGTGCGCAAGCAGAGGGCGAAGAAGCAAAGCTTCACCTGTGCAGGATCTAGGTTGTGTGTGAAACCATATACCCCCAGTCCTGTGAAAAAAAATTTTTCTTCCAAAACTGATCCCTGGTGTGGTTGGGAACTGCTGATTTAAGGCATACAAATCTTCATTCAATTGCTTATCATACTCAACGTTATTAGCCTACCCTAATAAAGTCAAAATAATGCTATCCATAACTAAGTCTTATGAAACATGAACCAGAGACACTAGCATGGATTCAGTTAATCAGCTTGTTTCTGGTTTGAAAAATTTAGAAGAACTGCTTCAGACATTACAGACATACAACAGTATCTTTCTGTTACTAATTCAAGTAGCTACATCCATGTTCAATCAAACCTGGAAAAAAACAAAACAAAACTGTTTTATGGAGACAGCTTATTAAAGGTAATTCTTTATGAAACATCTTTTGTCAAACTCATATGGAAATCTGAAATAAACTTATGGATGCCTTTATGAGTGATGTTGTTATTGCATGTGGCCTGAAGCTTTTGAATTATTTTTGAAGCATTCATAGTAAATATACTGGACGTCAGCCCCATTCAACTTTAATAATAGGAAACTTTATAGTACATATCCTTTTATTTGGGAGTAAGATCTTGCCATAGTTGTTAAGTGCATCACCGCAATTAAGTTAGTAACACGCTTGTTAAGTGAAATCTGGCTTCCCGATTGCCTTTGCTTGTGCAGAAGGTCACAAAAAAGTGTTCACATAACCCCAGAACACTGCAACTGTCATAAATATGACTCATTTGCCAAGCATCTGAATTTTGGTCACATGGGGAGGCTGCCATGGTCACAGGTGTGAAAAACAGTCATCAGTCACTTTTTTTCCGCCCCGTTGAAACTTCGGTCACTAAACAAAATGTTGAAAGGTGAGGACTACCTGTACTTCAATCTCTCTTATTCTGGGTAAGCATTCAGAAGAACATTTAGTGTTTTTGTACATTTGGGCAGTCGATTGCCAAAGCTGTTTTCTCAGTTACTTACACCAGATATATTGGAATAGATTGTAATTACTGGGTGATTATTATTATTTTTTAAAAAAATAGGCCTTTTACTATATCCTTTGCCTTATCCCTAAGTGCTCGAAAAAGGATCCCGGAGTTGGAGTATTGCTAGCAGAAAATTTACTTCAATCTCCTGCAAATAATTCGTGCCACCCCTGGCCATCCCCCTTCCTCCTCCATCTTAAAAAAAAAAAAGGTCCATTTCATGACAAAAAAAAGGGATTTCATTTCTTTCTTTTTTTAGACTTTAGCGGTTTCTTCAAGAGCGGAATAGAGCCGGTCTAAGAAGCAACACCAACACAAGGCCTTCTATTTTCTCTTTCTGTGAAAAACTTTTCTCAGGTTGGAAAGAAAACAAAACAAAACAAAACACAACCGTTGGTGGGATCGTGGCTGAAAGGCAGCTCTTCCGGCAAAAGGTTAGCTGAACTCAGCCGCTGGAGCGACTCCAAAGCCCTGTTATTCGTTCCAGAAAGCAACAGTAAGTGTTTATAAATAGGATTACCCCATACACCCGGATTTTCCCGGACGCCTCCCTGTTTTAGCTGCAATCGCGTTCCGTCGGGCCTAAAAACAAAAACAAAAAGCTAAAAACACCCGCCCGAAACGTCCGCCCCGGCGGCAGAGATGGGAGGGGCAGGTGGGGGGGAAAGGAGGCCGAAACACCAGCAAGCGGGCAGGAAGAAACGGGGCGGGGCTTCGCGGCGGCGGCGGCGGCAGCAGCGTCTGAGCTTAGCGCGTCAACTCCTGCTGCCTCCTGATTGGCGGGTTGAAAGAAAGGAGGCGTGCGCAGAAGCGCGGTTTGAAAAGTTGCAGCAGTTAGGAGGGGGTTTGTGCGGGAAGCGGCTTGCCGCGTGCAACAACCGACGCTGAATTACCTGCCCGAACCTTGTGATTCAATATGCGGTTTTAATTCTGCAAACGTTAGCCCTTGAGGGGCTTGTGGCCACAAAAGTACGATTTTACACAATATAGATCGTGCAGAAAACAGTGTCAAGGATTTTGTAATTTTTTTTCTCTCCCTGGGAAACAGTAATTTGGTAAGTTGAAAGCCTGGTTTTAATGCCTCTGACCTCTTCCATGTTAGTGAACACGCTGATCTCTGGAGAAGTGCTTAATGTTTAAATCCAAATTCAGTCATTGGAATAATAGAATAGAATAACACAGTTGGAAAGGACCTTGTAGAACAACAGAGTTGGAAGGGACCTTGGAGGTCATCTAGTCCAACCCCCTGCCTAGGCAGGAAACCCTACACCACTTCAGACAAATGGTTTTCCAACATCTTTTTAAAGACTTCCAGGGTTGGAGCATTCACAACTTCTGGAGGCAAGTTGTTCCACTGATTAATTGTTCTAACTATCAGGAAATTTCTCCTTAGTTCTAGGTTGCTTCTCTCCTTGATTAGTTTCCAATAAAATCAACTTCAATTGATTTATTCAGTTTCAAAATCAATATCAATTCTCAATCTCAGCCATTCATGTTAATCTCGAGAAATCCTGTTTGTGGGCAGAGGCTTTTCTTTTTTGCTCTAGCTCCTTAAAGGGACAAGTCCCATTTTCTGTTGGAAAAGTATTCGTGGTGCCACTTGCATGGCCAAAAGAAGCATCCTAGCTTTACTAGTTGCATTTAGTTGTGCTTGAGGATCCCATGTAGGCAGAGGCGTGATTTTGCTCATGAACATACAGTCAAGTTCAGAAATGTGATTTTGTGTATAAACATTGATTAAGACATTTGAGATTTCAAAGAGCAGATATTGATTTAATGAGAGTCTGAGTTGGTATCATAAACCTTGATGAGCTCAAAGACTGCCGATTTCATATTAGAACTACCTGTAGTGTTAAAATCAGGAAAATTAAAAGCACAACCTCAATAGAAGAGATGTAAATTTAAAATGGATGTCATGGTTATTTCCCCCTTTCATAAAAATTTAACAGTAAAATAAATCTCTTTAACACATTTCGGTAGAACCAACAAAGGCTTTGAAATATATATCCGTTTTAATGCAAAATTGATTTCTTCTACATTAATTCTCCCCCACAAATGTATGGGTAACATGAATTATTCCAATTTATTGCATACCTAGAGTCTTTACCATACAGTGAACATTTCTACAAACTTATAACCGACAAAAAAAACTCCAGTGTCATTTGTTTATGTCGGTATCTTTTATTCAAGATGAGATGGCGTGTTGTTCACATTCCCATGAGGGAGCAAGAGACATCACAGTTTGTGTGAGAGGAAGAAGATAGCTCCTCCTAATAGTTCCCGGAGTAGATGTTTTATGGTGCAAGTCATCTGCTTTTGTTTGGTAAGATTTCTGTCTATAGGGGAGGCACAATTATGACAGCATAATTTCTTTGGCACTAATATCAATTTCTAATATGCCTTGGTAATGAGAGTGGCTGGTGGCACTGTCATCGTAGTATAAAAAAGTATAAAGTATAAAAAGATACAATTGACTGAAAGACTCTGTTCTTGTGGCTCAGCAGAGATGGAGACCGTTGGTCGCATACTCCTTCAATGTTCATTTTACAGAGATATTAGAAAAAAAACCATATCCTTATCTTCAGTGGCTGCTTAAGGATGAACAGTCCATAACTACAGTGCAGGTGCCTAGATTCTGTGCAGGAGCACTGGGGATTCGTTGGAAACATGTCTAATCCACCATAGTTATTTTATACAACAAATGTAGCAAACCTTTTGCACTACTTATTCTTTTCCCTTTTAGTATTAAACTGACTACAGGCCTCAAAGTGTATGGATTGTAATTTTAGTATAGTCAGGCCATGTGTAATTGACAGACTGGATTTTATCATAGATTTCATCTGATATTTTATTCTATACATTTTAATTGGATATTCACTGAGTGTTTTTATTTGTCCTGGTCTATGACTGTTATAAACTGAATTGAATTGAATTGAACCCAATTTCTGCTGAATCATGACATCGTTGTTAACACAGTGCCCCAAATCATGCACAGAAAAACTTGTACTGGGAGAAAATGAAAAGCACATTTTAACATCAGATTACATAATATGAAATTAGACAATTTAGGAATGACAATTTAGGAAACTACGTCATGTGCAGATCTTTAAAGCACAGTGAATGAGAATGTTTGAGCTACAATCAAGTTTTGTGTGGAGGAACCCTCAAAAGTGCAAAACTGTTCATTAGCTTTGAAGGAAGTCTCTAGGAAGCCTGACAGATTACAATAGATTTTAATTCCAGGTAGCGAAATGAAAAATATTATTGCAGTAGATGTTTTTGCTTTTGTTCTGGTAGGTATTACAGGTTAAATTATCACACAACTGTCTTGTGAAAAAAAGATACTATACTATAAATAAGCTATATTTAAAATATCAGGACTTTAAAAAATATTTGTTGAGAATAGGTGTATAATAATACCTACAGTAGTGTATCTGGAATATGCCTTCAAGAGGAAGACGGGGAAAACATGTTTGCAAACTGAAGTTGTTTAAGAGAGGACACCAATGGCAAATGATACCTAGCACATATTTTGAACAACTGTGTTCATCATATGGAAAACTAGCTTGATACCCGTGCTTCGCTACAAAACTATGTGGTTGGGCTTAGTTTTTGGGGAGGAAAATAAGGGGAAAAATTATGCCTCTGCCTACTAGCATCCATTGGTATTCATCTGGCTAGCATCCTGTCAGTGTGTGAGAGAGTTGAGGGCTGTTTGGAAACTGAAACAGTATTTACTGTGTGAACAAGAAAGAGACAGCAAGGAGCCTGGGCATGGCTTAGCTCAACTGTTCTGTATTAAAGCTGCTTGGTGCTGTGAAACTAAAATTGAAACTGAAATTCCTCTGCTTGTATTTTGCATTTTCAGGTGGGAAGGGGGAGTAGAACTCCTTAGCATCAGAGTGTGTTAATAATAATAATATACAAAATACTCTGATGGTCATTTTGAAAAATCCTTTCTTAGTGGCACCTAGAAGCCAAGAGGAACATACATGCCAAATTTCAAGTTTGTAGGCTTTATGGTTCTGGAGATTTTGTGATGATGTGTGAATGGTATTTCACTTTTATATATATAGATAATGGATATTTACACAGAACATTATTTTTAAATTTATCAATACTTTCATAGTTATAACCAGAAGGAGTGCTGCAGGTTTCTTATTATCAGATAAATAAAGCTACTTTCTCATTGCAAGAGAAAATGACTGTCAGTATTTCCAGGCATCAGAAAGTGGATCCAGCAAATTACAGCCTTCAGATTGTTTTTACTATCCCAGAGCAAGCTGGCCATTTAGATTAAGATGTTTTCAAGCATGATTTTATTGAACAAACTTGTGTTCATTCAGGAGAAGGAAGACAAGGATACTGTAAATTTGCTGGAAACCTTGAGTTTTGCTCACATCATCTTTCTTATCTGTATGACCACCAAATTCTATCGTTGAATGTAAATGGATTACATCAAAATCCTTGCAAAAGTGACGTAGAGGGTGACAAATTCTGTGAAGTTGCCTACACAGGATTCATGTGGGATATTTTTAAAAACTAATGAGGTTTCTGCAAGGCTTTTCTTGCTTCATGTCGCTTGTTTTGAATGATATACAATAATGATAATCTTGCACCAAAGGCCTCATAGACAAAGGAGAGAGGGGGAAAGATGCCGATTGATTATACTCTATATGTGTTTTGATCAGATTGGTAATCTGAAAAGATTAATATAAAGTTTTATAATTTTCTAGTATACCAGAAACAAGTCAGTGGTGGTATTCAACCGGTTCTGCCCAGTTCCGGAGAGCAAAACACGCCCACTGAACTTGTGGCAACAATATTTGAATCCCACCACTGAAATGAGTCAAATATTTTAAAATGTTGAATGTCACTTAGAATAGCTAAGTTTCCTCACCAATGCCAAGCTAGAGGGGTAACAGAAAGCGTGTAATAACTTGGCTATTCAGTTGCTAAAAAAGCTTCTATTTTGAAAGTACATTTTTATGCAGGTTTCCTCAAAAGACATCTTGAAAAGTAATCCATCACTGTTGAGAGTTTAGATTTGATATCACCGTATAGCAATGTTAAAATACTGTAGAAACAAATATCTGACTTTTGCGAGAGATTGATAAAAAATGAAAGCTGATAGTTTAGTGCAGGGTTTTCAAACTTGCATCGTCATGTGACATATTGCAACTCCCTGCCCTTGGTTAAACTGGGAGTGGGAGTGGCTAGCACATGATACATCTGGCCCATAGGCTGCGAGTTTGAAACCCCTGGTTTAGTATGTCAGGTGTGTTTCTATATTTCTCTGCTAAAGAATAGCTTACTCTATTACATTTAGAGACAATGGGTAAATTTAATTGAAAAAGGGATTCTGTAAAGGTACATAAGATTGTGTTTTTATATTTGTATTTAGAAATAATGTTAGAAAATTGGAGACAATATGTAACCAAAAATGGGATAGAATATCTAGTGTAATTTAGTGAAATTTTTGTGAAGAAAAAGAAGGCAACGAAATAAATGAGACAATTGGTAGGAGAAATGGGAATATTTCAATGATATAATGATTTAAAATATGTGATGTGGGGGGGAAATAACTATGGAAAGTATAACTGTTCCTATAAAAGTATGATATTTAATTGAAAAGT